GAGATGGGGCAGTTTCAGCATCCCCTGGGATGTGGGGAGAGACAGCCCTGCCTGCCACCTCCAGCTGGGGGTTGGGAGGCAGAGCCCCTCCTTCCCTGCCCTGCCCTCCCTCAGAGCTTGCCCAGCCCTGGTGGGGTCTTGCCCTGTAAGATGCCCAGCCCCAGCTAGGGCAAGGTGCCCAAGGCATGAGTGGAGCAAACCCAGCTGCCCTCACTGCCGTGGACATTTGCTGCCCACCCTCCCCTTGGGGACAGTAGTTTCCCACAGTAAGAGCCCTTCTCCCCATTGTCTGCCTTAGCTCCATCTGGTTCTGTAGGTCCAAGGAGGGCAAGGGAGTGTTCCCCAGCACAGCCTGGCTGCTCAGTGCCAGTGCCTGGCATCCAAGGGAGAAAGGGCTGCCCCCATGGGACATAGTCCCCTCCAGTCTCCAACCCCACCTGCCCCCCCCCAGGCTCCCCAAAGAAGGGCACAGCAAGACACAGCCTCAGGAATATAAATCTCATTAAAATCTAGGATACTTTAGAACTCTACACTGGGAGAGACACTGGCACAGGCAGCGCTGCCCAGGGACGCGCGCGTTATTGCTAACGATTAGAGGTGAAGAGTAGCGGCGTGACACGTGGGGCAGGGCACGGGCACCATGCAGGAACCTGCACCCCTCACCACAGCATGGCGGGGGGCTTGGGACAGGGCCAGGGGAGCTGGAACGTCCTGCCAGGGCTCAGCACCCGCTGCCCACCACCTCCCCCTGCCATGCCAAGCTGCACCATGTCCCTGTGCCAGCCTCGGAGCTGCAGCACAGAGAGGGGGCACAGGGTGCTGGCTGGGAGGGGAGCAGTGGGCCCTTCCCACCCCATCCACCCCGAACCGAGAGCTCCGAGCCCTTCGGCTGGAGCTGGAAGACAAATTTAAAACTGCTTGGTCTTTGCCAGTGCATCCTGCTCCACTAATACTAGTTGGGGACCAAGAGTCCCCACATGGTTTGGAGCAAATAGGCTGGTGCAGCCCCCCTCATCTCCACTGATACCTCTTGCTAGCAGCAGCTGGGGGCACGGGGGGAGGGGTGGTGCATCCTGCTCCCCCTTAGCACCATGGAAGGTCCCCTCTGCCCCTGCTGGGGCTGCTCGGGAGAGCTGGACCCCTGCCCTACACCTTCCCCCACCCCCGCCAGGCTTAAGTGCTCCCCAGCTTCCTGCCCTGCCATGGAGCAGGCAGCAGTGCTGGGGCTGTGCCCACTGTGCGGGCAGTCTGGCCACCTGTGTGGGCAACCACAGGCCCCCAGTGGGGCCACAGGGGTGCACAGGGGAATAGGGAGGTACATACCAGCTCACCGCCTGCACAGCCCCAGGGTACTGTATGTATGTGCATGACCACATACGTGCCCATACCGTGTCTGCAAGGGACACACACGTGTGCGCACGTGTGCTCTTAAGTGCTTGTATATTGTGCCGTGAGATCCCACTGCCCATGGCAGTGTGCTTGCCCCTGTCTCCTTGTGCTAGCCGGGTGCTTGGCACCATCCTTGCGCAATGGCCACCCGTGGGACCCTGCAGGCTCTGAGCCACAGCAGGTGGCTGCCTGGGCTGGGGGTCCCTGCAGCGACAACCCCCACCATCACAGGCCTGTGCACGCACAGCTTGGGGCAGCCATGGGTGGTCCCAGCATACTCACCTCTGCTCCCACCCCCTCCCCTGCCTATGGGTAGGCCAGGAGGGTGCCCCACAGGGGGGCAGGGTGCCTGGCTGCTGGGGGCCCGGGAGCTGGGGGGCATCCGGCTCCCCCCCCATCCTGTGCATCCCCCTGGGGCAGGGCCCCTGCAAAGTGCCTCTGGCTCCCAGCCCTCCCAGGGCTGTGCCCCCTCCTCTCTTGTCCCAGCGTTGTGCACAAAGGTTACCGTAAACACAAGGGTTAACGAACGCCACGGGGGGTGGGGGAAGGGGGCAGGGAGGGGTGGTTAACCGGCGAGGAGGGGTGGGGGGCTCGGGAATGGGCGCTGAGAGCCCCCCGCAGTCCGGTGCAGCCCGGAGCCAGGCTCCGCCAGCGGAAGGTGCAAAAAGTGTCCAGCCGCTGCCTCGCTCTGGCCCTTCTCTGGCTGCAGGGGCTGCACCTCCAGGTGGGACTCGGTGGAGGGGCTGAACACCGGGGCGTAGCGCCCGCTGCGGTGCTCTGCCAGCGCTGGGCCCCAGTCCTTGCTTGCCTTGGTAGCATTTTTCAAGCGCTGGAGAGAGGGAGATGACGGGGACAGGGTTAGCACCCACCATGCTCCCCTGCCCCAGTGTTCCCCAGCCTGCCAGGGGTGCCTGCAGACGGGGTGCCCCACAGACAATGCCTGGACAGAGCTCCCGGTGAGTGTCACCAGCTCCAGTGGAGTAGGAGACAGCCTTGCAAGCAGTCCCAGGTGGGACATGGGCAAGGGGGTCTAGATCCTGGCCACCCACCTCCAGCAGGGTGTCTCCCTCAGAGCGGCACACTTTGTAGATAGCGTAGATGGGGATGCAGATCACTGAGGAGAGTGCCATGAGGAAGCCGATGCTGATGGCCCAGGTGGGGTAGACATAGTCGTTGTAGGAGATGGGCCGGTACTGGATCACTGTGAAGACCAGGATGAACTGGGGAGGTACAGGCAGGATCAGCCAGTTGGGAACAGCCAACCTGCTCTGTGCCTCCCCAGTCCCCCTGCTCTGACTTGTCCCTGCTGCCCTCCTGCACCCAGCACCCTCCTCCCCAGGGCAGGTGAGTAATGTGTCTGGGTGGGCTCCTTGCCCCCTCCTCCCATAGCCCCGTGGTCACAATGCTCACAAAGATGATGGCAGGAGAGATGAAGCGCCAGCAGATCTGGAAGAACAGTGGAGGTGGGAAGCCCAGCATCATCTCAATGTCCTTGAAGTAGTTGCGGTATCCTGCGGGGACAAGTGGCCGTGAGTCACAATGTGCTGTTCTGGGGCTCCAGTGGGACCCTCAGCCCCCTCCTACCCCTGCCCAGCACCAGCTCTAGACCCTGGGTGGGGGGACCCACCAGGCTCTTCAGGTTGTGCTGCCCCAATTGGCCAATGGGCTTGCCAGTTAGCACACAGCAAACCACCGATTGGCTAGAAGTTAGCCCACCCCCCTCCCCATTGGTTGGCCGGGGAAGGTCCTGCTGGCTGATTGGCTGCAGGTGGTTGTACCTACCATAAACATACATGATGGCCACACACATGATGCAGGAGATGACGACCAAGGAGAAGCTGGCAGCGTAGTTGTCCATCAGCAAGAGCCAGTAGATGCCCGCCTGTGAGAGGGACCAGTTGTCAAGGCTGCCAGGGTGGTGCTGCCATTGACATGGTAACGACAACCAACAGCCCAGATACCACCACCATGGCCAGCACGGCAACACCCAATGCCAGGGTTGGCATGGCAACATTTAGTCTGGATACCATTGCCAGTGTTGGCATGGCAACACCAGGCCATGGATGTCACCACCACCATCAGGTGGTCATGGCAAGAATGTGTATATGGCTGATGGTGTCAGTGCAGCAAGTTCACCATGGCAACAACACAGGCACCCTATCACCACAGTCCCACAGTCACCTACCTGTGTGGTAAGCGGGACACCCAGCAGGAAGCCCACCACGGCCACCCCCAGCGTCACAAAAGTCTTCCTGCGGATGATCCATTCGTTGCCCACCTCATCCACGATAGCAGTGACCAGCGTCTCCAGCAGGCAAAACTGCACATGGGGTGGAACAGGCACCATGTCACCACCTAGGCCCCACCATGCCACCTTACCCCAACATGGTCACCCCACCACACCTTTCCACCATGCCCTACCTGTGTGCCTAGCCCCAGGAGGATAAGCATGAAGAAGAAGAGGATGGACCAGAGGGGAGAGATAGGGAGCAGAGTGAGGGCCTCAGGGTAGGCGACAAAGGCCAGGCCGGGGCCGTGGTCAGCCACCTTGGACACGTCCACACCCAAATGTTTGGCCATGAAGCCCAGGATGGAGAAGATAACGAAGCCGGCGTACACACTGGTGGCGCAGTTGGTGATGCTGATGATGATGCTGTCCCTGTGGTGGGAGTGGTCAGGGTTGGTGGAGGGAGCCCCTCAGGACAGGAGGGAGGCTGGGAGACCATGGCTGGGCACTCACCGGTAGCAGTTGTTGTGGAACTTGTTGTAGGAGGCCATGGTGATGAGTCCGCCCCAGGCGCAGCCCAGCGAATAGAAGATCTGCGAGGCTGCATCACCCCATACCTGCAGTGGTGAGGCAGTCAGTGCCGTGTCCTCCAGCCCCGCTCCCTCCACAGCCACGCAGCTGCCACCCCTTGTTCCTGCTCACCTTGGCATTGAGGATCTTGTCCCACTGGGGCGTCAGGTAGTACATGATGCCGGTGACAGCCCCCTCCAGCGTGATGCCGCGCACGAAGAGGATGGTGAGCACCACATAGGGGAAGGTGGCCGTGAAGTACACCACCTGTGGGGTTGCACCTCAGCAGGGCAGGGCCAAGGACAAGGGGTGTGGCCTGAGGGAGGGGCTATGGACCAGGGGCAGGCATTATGGTCCAGGGTATAGAGCATCAGACCAGGGGATTAAGGAGTTAAGGGGGAAAGGCTATGGTCAGGGAAGGTGGGGTCATGGCCGTGAGAGGAGCTATGTCCAGAAGGGGTGTGGCCAGGTCACAAGGGGTGTGACCTTTTCCAGAGTGGGGCTACATCTACAATAGGAGGAACCTTCCCAATAGAGGAGGGGCTATGCCTAGAGAGGACATGTGCAGGCAGGGAGGGCGAGGCCCAGAGAGGAATCACATGAGTACCTTCCCTGAGGATTTGACACCCTTGATGAGGCAGAGGAAGACAACAACCCAGGACACGCCGAGGCAGCCCAGGAGGGGCAGCCGCACCTCGCCCAGGTTCCCGATGTCATCCGACAGGTCCAGCACGTACCTCCTGTGCAGGGCAGGGGACAGCCAGCATCAGTGGGACTCTGTCAACACTGCCTCCCCTGTACCCTCATATTCATTCCCATCCCTGGTACCTCCAGTACTCTTCGCTGGGGCTGGTGCGCTTCTGGGTGGAGTTGAGGAGGTGGGTGAGGTTGAGGGCAGTGTGGCTGGAGAGGTTCCCATCCAGCACCCCTGCGCAGTCGCGTGTGTTCCAGGGGTTGCTGCAGTATGTCCAGGGCAGCACGGGCGTCATGGACACAAAGAAGTAGTAGAAGGCAATACAGATCACCACGTTGTAGTAGATCCCGATGTACGTGGACACCACCATCATCCCGTAGCCCACGCCTGGGAACAGCACCGGGGAGGGGTGAGCGGCACAGCGCGGGTTTGGTGCACAGCATGGGGGGCTGTGGCAGGAGGGGGTGGGCAGCATGCGGTGATGTCACCAGCCATGCAGCTGCTTGGCACCCAGGTGTGGTGCTGGGATGGGGAGCACTGCACAGCTCAACCCACCACCATGCATGAGGTCCACTAGCTCTGAGCAAACCCCGTGGTGCTGAGGGTCCCCTGGGATGCATGGTCTGCAAGACAAACCCTTGGGGTCTGGAGATCTACTTGGAGAACCCCTGAGTGGGGGTTTCTTCTTGCACAGCCAGGTGACTTTCAGTCTGCAGTTACCTAGTAGAAGGTGACAGGCCACAGAAGCATGGGGACATGCATCCAGGCTGAGCATGCCACAGTGCAGACCATGCACACAGGCTGTCTGTACTCAGATGGGATGTGTGGGTGTGTCACCCAGCTGGTAGCATGTAGGCACATGTCCTGGCACACAAGAGCATGCTGGGGTACCAGGAGATGCACCTGGAGCCGGCTCCAATCATGGCAAGGCAAGCTCTGAGCACAGCCAGCACCCACTGCATGGGCACAGCACACACTGCCCATGGGGCAGGGAGAGGACTGCAGGATTGTGCCCACAGCTGGAGGGGCCACAGCCACCTGGCGCATATTCAGGGGACGTCAGTGGCCTCTGCACGGGTGACATGCTGGAGACACGTGCAGCGCATGCAGGGATGCATGTGTAATGCCTGCAGTGGATGCCAGTGCAGGGCTGGGGTGTGCAGAGGGGATGAGTCGCGCGTGCAGGGCCGTGTGATGCCTGCGGAGATGCTGGGTGGGCTGTGTATGCAGGGCAGTACAGCCCACAGTGGGGTGGGGGTGTGCACAGGGGATCCCCACAACACAGGCAGTGGTGTGTTTACAAGGCATGGGTGTGCAAGGTGTGCAAGGCTGTGCAAGCTGCCCAGCTGTGGGGCTAGGCAGCATGCCAGAGGTGTATGTGCAGGGGACACACAGGGTGTAACCACATGCTGGGGGCTGTGCTGGAGGGTGCCCTGTGCCAAGTGTGTGCTGGTGGGGACAGGCAGCCCCTTACCTTTGAACATGGGGCTGACCCTCCAGACACCAAGGCAGCCCTGGCTAGCGAACTGCCCGAAGGAAAGCTCCATGAAGAAGAGGGGGATGCCACAGAACACCAGCATGATGAAGTAGGGGAACATGAAGGCACCTGACAGGCACAAAAGAACCAGAGAGTGAGAGTGAGCAGCAACCATGGGCACAGCCGTGCCCCCATGCCCTGCATTGCCCCGGCAAGCCTGGGGCTGGCAAGCACTGTGCAGGGCTGGGGTGTATGCCCCTGCCCTGGGGCACCCCACTCTGCGACACCCACCTCCCCCATTGCGGTAGCAGAGGTACGGGAAGCGCCAGACGTTGCCCAGCCCCACAGCGTAGCCCACGCTGGTCAGCACGAACTCGATCTGGTTGCCCCAGTTGCCGCGCTTGACACTCTTGTCCTGCTTGCCCTGCTCCCCGGGCACGGCGCCGTTCTGCAGAGAGATGCCATGGGGTGTGTCAACCAGGGACCCTCCTGCCAGCCCCATTAGAAGGGTGACAGCCACTGAGTGGGGCTGGGTGGGCCCCTG